TTCCCCCAAAGGGCACAAATTTCCACCTACACCAGCTGGTAATTTGAGGCTATGGTTAGGTAAACTGGGCGTAATCGAAGGCAGAACAGCGACCAGAGGCGCCAGATAATGTGTTGACGGGCGGACAGCGACACCAGCAGGGGTTCAGATGATAAGAGGAGGGCCGTGAGACCAGCCAGGTTTCCACAAACACGGTATGACGATCAGATCTAGAGCCCAGCATGCAGGGAGCTTCGGCAGAGCGCGGTGACGGCTGAGTGGAAACGCAAGCGTCTACACTAACGTCTAGGTCCACGAAATCTGGTTACGGGAGGGACTGTGAGTAGCGGAACCAAGACATCCCGGTGCGCCGAGGCCAGCATGGCGGCTGGACGGCCATGGCGCCGGAGGAGCGGGCGTAGACTCCTGTGGAGGAGGGACTGGGACCGGTGCCCCTAGGAGAAATGGGCCGGGACAGGGAGCAACGTAGTGAAGCTGGCTGCAAGATGGGACAGAGACCTGCGTCGGAGTGACGCGCAGGACCCGAAAGCGGAAGGAGCCCTGCGATGGGCAGGACCCAAAGACGGGACGCTGTGGGGAAACGGTCCGGGCCGGCGAGGAGAGTGGGTGGTGGTCCGGCGACGACGAACCCTGCCGGCGGCGAGACTTGTAGGCACGCGACGCGGGGCATGACACCGTTCGAGGAAGCGAACCTGGACACGGATCTCTCCGACGGTAGCGAGCTTGGACACGGATCTCTCCGACGGTAGCGAGCTTGGACACGGATCTCTCCGAAGGTAGTGAGCCTGAACACGGATCTCTCCGAAGGTAGTGAGTCTGGACACGGAACTCTCCAAAGGTAGCACACCTGGACACGGGTCCCTCCGAAGGCAGTGAGCTTGGACGCGCATCTCTCCTGAGAGCGTATCGGAGGACGCGCAGTGCCTCGAGGCAGTGGGCCACGGCTCGCAGCCGAGCTCCGCACCGCTACCCGCACGACGACGGACGTGATGGATGACTGGAACCTGCCGCTAATGACTGTTTACCCACGTAGAAATGACCAGCGCGGCCGGAGAGTTCCGCCAGACGCGCCGTGCTCCGCGCCACGCCCGTGACCGGTGGGTCTGGGCCGGGTACGCTCACGTGACCGGTGGGCGCCGGCCGGCCGACCCACATGGCCAGCGGGGCGTCCGCGGGGCCGCGTGCCGCGCGCGGTTTCCCAGGTGGTTTGCGCGCCGGTCGGCCAGCCGGTGCCGAGGAACGTCCGGAGGCGCTCCGGGACCTCCGCGGCCCAACGCCGGCGCGCGGCCATCGCTGTACGGCTCCGGGGGGCCGGGTGCCGTGTCGCGGTTAGGCGTTGCAGCGTTTTGCAGCGTTTTGCAGCGTTTTGCGGACATGCATCAAGGGAGGGGCGAGAACAACATGTACAATGGATCATGTACTGGAAATTTGTGTTCCAAGGTCCAAATACTCACCAGAACAGGAAATAAGTCAATTGTCTAAGATGGGAAATCGGTGAGCTTAAAGCGATCGCGAACATTCAGATTCTGGTGTTGTCGAACCAGAAAATATGCCTGAGTTGAATGGTAAATGTAGCGGAGAACAGCCTTAAATTACGCACAATTTATCAGAAAACTAAAAGAAAACCTCCAGATGTTGCAAACTTGTTCACGAGAACATTCCTTTATGGGCTCGCTATAGGTCAGTGTTACATGTTGCGATATAAATGCACAGCTGCTCGTTATAAGCGGTTGACCTTGTTCGAATCGTTTACAGCGCTTTGGTTATGTTTGCCTGATAGTTCTGGTTATTTACTGAGTTGAGCAATGGGCGAGGGATTGAAGGTAGACGCCATCTGTCCTTTTGCCAAGGGGATAAACGAATCTTTTTACCTCTCATCTTCGAAATTTCATGAGCACCCGTCACGCCGACGGGAGCCACAGATGGCCGAGACAGAACTTTCAGTCAAACGAAAGGGGCTTTTGCCTCGTGCACAGAACTCTTGCCTCCTGCTTGTCCCTAAAGCACACAAGAGACAATATTTTCCCCGCAGGAGTCCTGGATCGTCAATATCAGGCCCTGTTGGTCGACAGGAGGCCAGACAATCCAAAGGATGCCCATCGCATGCACAGCAGGTCCCATGAACGACACAAGAAACCCCGCGAGCCCAAGAGAAGGCTCCGACTAGAAATGTCAAGAGCTCACCTAGGCCAAGACGAGTTTTCAAATTTATATAAAAGGTTCCTTTGAGAAAATGCTGCGGAAGTCCTCAGGGAGACATAGATGTGGCGTGGCATGGAAAGCCACTCAGGCCTTTTCAGGAGACCGCAGATCTGCTTTGTGCCCCACCCCACCCGGTTTTGAAAAACTGGTGGCGCCACGCCTTTTGAGGTACATTTAAATTCAGTCACAATCATGCAATTTGCATTACATATTGCCGTGTTTGCTGTTAAAATGTCTCAAAGTATGACACCTATAAGAATCTTTATTTCACGCGTTTGATCACATTGATAGACTCCACTGTTGCCTAGGCGCCCTTGAGATCGTGTGCAAAGCGCGTACGGACGAAATGTACGCTTTGCTATTGATCCTTTGCTTGTTTAAAGCTCTACGCAGCTCCATCAGTAAGTAAATAGTGTCTGGCTTGAAGCTGTCATACACATGTTCGAAATTCACCAAACAAGCTGGCAAATTATATATATATATATATATATATATATATATATATATATATATATATATATATATATATATTAGGGAGACGGACACTCCATTAGGTAGGGCTCCAAATGACAAAGAGTGAGAGCGGAATAATATAATCAAATAATGCGCATGTTCAATGCAGTATACAGGCTCAATTTCACTCTTCTAAGAATTATTTCAATATCACGATTCATCGATCCCCGACTGTTTTACCGCCAGTAAATTGGAGGCCAAATTATCGGTCATGCACAAGCGGATAGGGGTTTTACACACGCCACAAAATACCAGTTGGTCTATGAAGAATCGCAAGGATAACTCATTCCCTGGATGAGTAATAGACTGCGATTTGGCATTGCAGATCATGAGGCCGCAGTGACTTTACGGCTAGCCAAAACAGGCACATAAATGGCATCGGGAGAGATTGATCTGGACTTCTAAACATATTCAGGGTCTGTCCAGCAGCAGGCGCCCAGCCCAGCGAGAAGACCCATTCGATTATGGCGATTGGGCTTTTAGGGCGTGCAGACCGCATAGGTCATACAGCGCCCCAGGCGACGCTGGAGCACAGCCAGCGACTGCGTCCAGACGAACGACAGCCCTTACGGACAGCTGCGATTGAGCGGTGCCCGACGCCGGCTGACCGACACGGTGGTCCATACTTCTCCCTGACCTGACGACGGCCCTCACCCTGCGACGGGGCTACTTTTAGTCCGGCGACAACCGCTTAGATCATTTGCTGCGTAATTTGCTCATTTGTATGCCCGCGCCCAGGCGCGCCAGCGTGGCACATTTGGAGTTGCATGATCCGCGCAATTTGCCTGGTTACAAATGTCCCTAATACATCAGGACACACAGGCGGTGCACTGAGCACGTAATTGTTACATTTGTTGCAGAACTATGCGTAAACATACTGGGCGAGTCATGCGAGCTGTTTTTCTAAGGCCCCTGGTGCGCCCAATGAGGTCATGTTGACTTTGGCCAGCGACCCGCTCTGTCCAGTAAATTGACGCCACATTAATGGCGCGACACTGCGGCGGGCATGGCAAGCGTGTGTGTTACACGAGCCTTATGCCAACAACAGGTGTACACGCAGGCGTAAGGCGGAACAAAAACGGGACATAAGCTGCATGGAGGCTTGAGCGCGTGGTGACCGTGCGTGAGCCATGTGGAATGTGCGCGGACGCTCGGGCAAATGTGCTCCCTAGAATACGCGGACGTGAGGTTGGGTCGAAGGTTAACGTGAGTATGGCCATGATGTTAAACTTGGTGAAGTCGATGTAGAATTTCAACAATGTGCGTTTCGCAACTTCTGGGGAAGTAGTGATGAATTCACAGCCGATGATTGATCATAACATTTGCGTGATAGTGATATGTGATGATGCACATTTACGCACAAGGTCAAAGGTAGACGTCAATGAAAACGTTACTAAATATTTTTCTTCAGGTAAAGGAGGCTGACGCCGGTATCGTACTGAGGTGATTGCAAAGGCATGAACTCGAAGACTTCGCAGGTAAGACTATTTTCACCAAAAGGATAGCGATGAAGGCAGGGTTCTTCACACTAGACTCGGCCAAAATATTCATTTTTACGGGTTGTTTTGGGGGTTGTGGTTACAAACGAGCAATAGCGCGGTGAATGCAAAGTGCATCTGTGATTATAAGATTTGTTAGGTGCTGAACGCTTTTGGCTACAATCATGACACAATTTTAGACATAACCTGCAGCGATGGTGCTTCATTGTGACAATAGGAACAAAGAATGGCTACCAAACCAACCACACAAACCAACCGAACGCGCCCATAAAACCCAACAAATGTTAAACTAACCAACTATACAGGTGTTCTGTAAACCGGACTGGATTTCGTGCACAGTGTTGCCGTGATAATGACGTGGTCAAAACGTCGTAGACAGCGAAAAACATTTAAATCTAATTAAATGTTGACCCATCTCGAGTCATCCCTTTTCCCACTTTGTACGCCGCTGTGCCGGCCTCAGCGCGCATTGTATAATAGAATGAATGCTTTTAAATAAGATTAAAACCAATACATAACTGAAGTTAAATTGTAGAGGATAAATTTGACCACGAACCAGCGGCATTTTTGCATCTGCAGGAAAGGGAGTGCCACGAGATACGAGCACTCCTGAGCTGCGAAGAGGCCCAGTGAGCTAACGAAAGCCCTGCAGAACGAGACCTGAACCTGACCTACCCCAGCCCCCACTCCTTCCCACACAACTCACGACGGCCAAGCACACACACATGCAGCCTCCACGAGACCCTCCCAGGTCTCGCAGCGGCGCCGCGGTCTCGCTGTACTCACTTTTAATCCACTCTCCGGCGCCGGCTACGTGGATCTTCTTCATCCAGGGGTAGATGACTCGCGTGCTGCCCTCCTGGTCTTCGGCGGCGTCGCCCTCTTCACAGCCGTCCGACTGGATCTCCTGGCTCTGCGAGCCGGGCGGGCCGTGCTGGCCCGGGTGGCCGGCTCCCAGCTGACCCGGCGAGGTCAGCATACCGCCCACGCCCATGCCGGCCGGCGGCTGCGGCGAGCTCACCGGCACCGGCGACCGGTGCAGCGTCGGCTGCGTCGGTGGCGACGGGTTGGGCAGCGGCGGCACTGTGTGTCCTCCCATGTGCTGCGCCGGGTGCATGAACGTCTGCTGGTAGTAGCCGGCGGCCGCGGCCGCTGCACTCGGGTTGTAGGCGACACTCTCGCGTCCGTAGCCCAGGTGGGCTTGAGCACTGGGGTAGCCATAGTGCTGGTGCTGCGGGATGTAGTACTCACTGTGCGGGATATAGCTCCCCTGGCTGTATTCCTCACTCGGCGGGAACTTCGGATCCACGTACGGACCCGAATTCATCAGAAACGAACTCATCGGTGATTAATTTTCGGTGAATTGGATGGAAATAATTTTTCTCCTCGGCGCTCGGCCGTCCGCGGCGAGGCTCCTCCCGGTATCAACAATCCCGCCGGCACGTGACTGGCGCGCACCAATCGGGCGCCGGCCGCCTGACCCAAACGCTGACGTCACACGGCGTCGGTCGAAGATGGCGTAGAGGCGGCGCGAGGCGACGCTAGCAGCCCTGGCGGCGGAGAGCGGAGTTAGCGGCGGAGGCGAGCGCGTCGCAATGATGGATTGGGGGCGCGGACCTATTTATTACGTTTTAAACAGAAGAATGATACCACGGGGACGCAGCCTGGTCATTGAGACATATCTCTCGAATGGGAGCGTTACTGTTGTCGACTGACCACACGTCTGACACGTAACGATAATTAGACGGCAATAAAATAAACAAATGGCCCGCCCGCCGCCCGGCCAGCGTTTTATGATCTCACCTCACGTGGATGAACCTCCGAGTGTTCAGCACGCGCCAAACCGTCGCCCGCACTCCACCTGCGAATGCGGACGTGAATTATTGCCGGTTAAACGATGCCAGGGCTATAACAAATGACCAGCCATTAAAACGACACTGATTTTATGTTGGAAACAGTGGGCAGCGTATCAATCTTTCCCGGCCGCTTTAACCGGCCGCGGCCGGCGCCCGGCGTGCGGCCGAGATGGCCGCATCGCCGGCCGTGAGTGATGCGCTCGGACCGTATTCAGAGGCTCGAGTGGGTAAATATTGACGCGGGTAATGGCCCGGTGCCGAGATGGGGACGAGTGGCGGATCGCACTCTGTCAGGAGAGAATTACTCACGTTTCTCAGGTGCGGCTGCGAACGGGCCAGGCCGTTATGATCGGCGCTGACGTTTATCGAGGCGGCAGCGGTGGGTGAGGGATCTGGCACGTTCAAATAAACAAGGAAGGGTTATTCAAGGTGTGTGAGTACTACGTAGGCTACGTGTTTTGGTGGAGCGAATGTTTTGTGAGAACATCCATGAAAGATGGCCAGCGCGGCAAAATGAAAGAAATGAAAAGTTATTCGCTGTCAGCGATGCCCATTTATGCCCACCGTTTGCAAGTGAAATATGTTAGAAGTGAAAGAGATGTAACGTTCGTGAATTGACCACCTTACGTGAACCAGGAATACGCACAAATTCTGGATTTGATTCTAATTGTTTATTTTTGGTTTAGCATGGGTGAGAAGTATTCATGAGAACACATTCGAAGACTAAAATGACCATCTGAGGCATAAATTCTTCTCACTTAGCAAGAACTTTGTGTATCAACCGACCAGATACAAAGTGTCATTTTTGCAGGGCGTACATGTGCGAAGGACTAAACCTTTGAAAGAACGGTCAGTGAAGTTAGTAGCATTGACATTTTAAGACTACCAAGACAAAGCAACCAATGGGAGGTGATGTGCTTACGAGCTCGACGATCCGTTTCAGCGCTGGGTGAACGCGAGTGCTGCCAGACGTGTGCTCTTGTTGTTCTCGTTGATATGTTCTTGGTGCTTTCCATCCGCGTTTGTTGAGTGTCGTGTGCATGCTGTACTGTGCTCAGCAGTTTCAAATGCCTGTGTCCAATATTGAGATCATCACTACCCTGCTTCCTGATGTAACGGGAATCACAACAAAGGAAGCATCTGCCTGCATAGTTGTGGAATTCATAAGCCAAACAGCAGTTCATAACACGTAAGAGGATGCGTGGCATGTGAGGTAACCAATTATTTTGAACTTGAACTTGTTTCTGGTCATTTAGTTGTCTTCAGTCGTGCAATTGGATCACACTATCTTCACCAAAAAACGTCTGCCAAGAATATTTACAGGACGCAGAGGCTGAGGAGAAAAATCAGCAATTTTTTTCTTTCTCGTTTTGAGACGTCAACGACATTCTGCCGGCCAAAATTTTGAAATTTGGTTAGGATTTACAGTCGTTGGGTACATATTACTTGATGATGACATTGACCACGCGATGGCAAGAGTAGTTGATACCTTAGAGGTGCACTCATATCATTTAAAAACTGAATGCAGCAGCATTTGATAACACCCACCAATAAGAAACTTTAATAATGGCGCGTATTCAATTGATATCCCGTTAAAAAAGGTAGTCCCCGCTTTATATCAATCATAAGTGCAAAGCGGGCAAACATCTCCCAGTGTCGTCAGCTCTCGCTCTGCAGACGGCACCGGAGTCACGCTAATCACCGCGCGTGCTGCAGACTGCCGAAAGCGTCACAGCTCGCGCAGGCCGTCCTTGCAACATGTGCAACACGTGCCGAGTCAGCTGCCACCGCCACCCTCACGGCCCGCTGCTCCGTAAACGCTCGTATCGCTTTGGCCTGTTTACACGTGTGGGCTCCCTTTTTGCGTTCATTAGTGCGGCCTGGGCCAGTGTTTGACGGGAGCTTCAGCCGGCGAGCGTGGTGCAGAGCGGCGCGGCGGCGGTGAGGACGGCGTGGGGTCGGCGGCGTCTGACCGCCTGTCGCAGGGTGCAGCTCGGCGGGCTGCCTTTGGGAGCGCGCGCGCTGACGACGACGGCCGTCGCACTGAGGAGTCGAGCGGGCTAACTCCAGACCGGAGGTTTGTTAGGCCGGTCGGGCCGGTGCCCTACCTGCCATCCGTCGTCGCACCGCCACGCTGCATCGCACTGCCACTCCACAGCCGCCGGCCGAGCGGCACACCCACCACTCCAGCCAGTAGGCCCGCCACTTCAGTCAGCACTCCCGCCTCTTCAGGCAGCAGCCGTCGTCCGCTCCGATCTCCCGCCCGCGTCCGAGACCGGCGCCTCGCAGCCAGTCACCAGGCGCGCGTGACCACACGCGCCCCCTCCTCCAGCCCGGCGGCCATGTTCTCCCCACTCACCTGCGCGTGTTTTCCCGGCTGGCAGCGCATTCTTGGGCGCGGGCTCGCGCGGCGCCGCGCTCCGCTGGCGGCACCTGGCGCGTCTGATGTCAGAGCGTGGCTCGACACCACCTCCCGGCCGGAAGGCAGCGGCGCGACTGGCCGGCGCGCCGCCATGCCGGCCACGAATCATTGCTGCATGTCGGCCGCCAGATTAATGGTCTCCCGCCGGACCCGATACTGGGACAGTTTTAGCCGCGTACACGGGCGAGTTGCAAGTGCGCGCGCCGCGCGCGTGGGTCGCGGTTTGGCGCGGAATTGGCGTGACGGTGGTGTCGCGGCTTCGTCTGGTGAGGTGATGTGTTTTGGACGGGCGCGCGTGGAGACACCTGCTGGACGGCTGGAATGGAAGAGGACGTAAGGGTTTCAGGACTATGATGTGTGGGCTTCGGTGGTAACCCAATCGAATGAAGAACAACGTTCAGTGTCAGTTATTGCGGAAACTGAGGGTTTGGGGTACATAAAACACTGAATGGAAGTCATTTGTAGAGGTCGCAATGATGTTTTATTCAAGCAACAGGGGTAGCGGTTTTCAGTTTGCTTGCTATGTGAACTTGCAAAAGTTGAGACCTGATCCTAAAAAATCGATGAAAAGGCTATTTCAATATCTGTTCTTCATTGGTTTGAGCTTCGGCCCGCCACTGATGCATTTTGTGACAAGTGTTTCCTAGAGCTGAATAACGTTTGTCCGCGTAGGGCGAAAGAAATAAGTCGTGACAATTGGCATTTTGCTGTGGAAGATGACTTTTCCATTCAGACTATTTGTATATAACATGCTCGCATTATTTACACCAATGCGCCTGATGTGCCACCAGTGTGGTCCGAGACATCGACGAAAGCATCGTTGTTTGTAAAGACATTAGTCTCTGCCCTCATGCCATGTAAAAGTCGCGACAGAACGCGGCTGGGGTTAACCTACACTCAGGTATGCCATGGGATGCGACGGTCGATTGTTCATAAGGATAAAATGTGTCTTGCGTGCATGGGCGAATTTTCTCACGTGTTGCAGGGGCTCGAGCTTCTCGAATTATTTTTTTATAGCTTAAACTAGTGGCTATGGATTTGCGCAAACATGATAAGCCTAAACTCACAATGCGACGCCAAATTTTTTAGCATTTTTAGTGTTGGATCCTATGCAAAGTATATATATGTGTCCTGTGTCTTGCAGTCAATCAGTGTGTTAGAATGACAAATGTAGCACCAATGATGTCGGAGAGAAAAAAAATGCGAGCAAAAGCCGAATCGACTGACTGCTTGGAATGCAGCGCAACTGTGCTTCTCTTGCTATACATCACAATGCATTAGCATTTGTTAGCATATATTCTTGCTAATGTACTCACCACATTGAAATGTGTTTTAAGGCCATGTCTAGGAGTCGCTAGTAAGCCCTTTTTGTGTTGCAATTCAATTCGAATGACACAAACTTTGCATAAATATATGTGCTTAGTTGTAATATTTGGTGTGCGTAGCAAGATTTGCTGTTTCTCTGAGGAATGTCAGTGAAATGCTGTTATCTTCTCGCGGATGGTAGCATGCACACGAAGATTAAATTTCGATGTTGAATTAAAGCGGGCGTTCCACATTTGTTCCACATTTCCACAGGATTTTGAACTGAAATAGTCATCTTGAGGATCATTCGGTGCAGTTCACAGCCCTGCCATTCTCAAGAGCTCAACCCCTCTAGTTTCTGAGATATGCGCTCTCGAAGAGATGTACGGATTTTTTCAGGGGAGTTGTCTATAGCAGTTTTTCGACGTAACAGTATACCAATACTTATGAGTGAGCTTAATTCATCCTACCTGATGCTTGCTTCAATATCTTCAAATATGGAACGTTCCCTTTAGTTGAGGCTGCGCCACTCAAAATGTAAGTTGGCTATTCGCAATTCACGCAGAATTGTTAGCCCTTTGGTAATTATATCATTAGTTGCTTAATGTGCCGCAGCAGTCTTCTGTTTGGATAACTATTGTCTGTAACTGCAGTGATGAAATTATATATATATATATATATATATATATATATATATATATATATATATATATGTAGGTATATATGCACAGCAGAGGCACAACTCAAAACTTGGGCTGTTTCAAAAACGGACTGTTCGCCTCCTATCTTAAATCATGCGACTTAGATTACCCTAGCTCAGCTTGTTTCCAGCGCTATTTTAGCGCTTTTCAGCACTATCTCAGCATTGGTCCTGAGCAGAACATCTACTGACGATGTGGCACAGAGAACACACTTAGAATTACGATTACGTCAAATACCTATGCTTCCAGAAAATTCCAACGTTCTGATGTCGGTTTGCATTATTTATTTTAGTACACATGTACCGAGATGGAACTAGAATAGTTGTTGAAATCTGCTGTACGTAATGCGTGCGATGCAATGCAAATTTATCAAGCAACTGTCACAGGGAAACATTTCAATGGCTCGGTGTGTCGCGGCACCCTGTAAAAGACTGCATATTTGACGCGTCTGAATGCTGCAGCTCTCCGCGCATATCGTTTTCTGGCAGCGTCCGTACATTATGCACTTGTCGGTGGCCATCGCTCATGGGCTTCAGTAACGTCATAGTCATGCCATGCTCCGCTGACAAATATCCCTTTTGTCTTGACGATGAACCACAACGTTGCGCTGTGATGTCAATTTTCACCGTACTGTTCGCTATGTGGTTCTGCACTTTCTGTCCACGTGTTACAACAATACGATATCGTGGTCGAAGACGACGGCGTATTAAGTTTCTTCCGACCGATAAGCGCCACCGCACCCAGGAGCGCAAATGCGGCACACTGTGCCTCATACCAACGCGACGCATTCGTCACCGCATTGGCACGTCACGGTTGCGGACTAAAGCCAAAAACTAACGTAACGACCCGATGCCACGGACTGTCGTCACAAACAAGCGTCACTATGTGGCGTCATAAACTAACGTCATCGACAGAAGCGATGCGCATTCATAGCCCCGACCTTACTCGTCCGATGGCATAGTGTTGCGGGTCTAGACGTCGCAGCACACGTCACTCGCTGACGGCTGGGGGCAGGAAAACCGGCCGGACAAGACCTGGGTCCTGCGCTGAGGGAAGAACTGGCTGGAACCGCGTGCAAAAAGGGCTGTTGTACCTTGGAGGGTCATGACGTCAGAAACGAGGAATTCAGTCAGGTTTGTAGGCAAGGGTGCCTGGCCGCAGGTTTTGTTGAATTTTTACCACGTATTTTTTACATACTATAACGTCTGAATGCGCTCTTTCGCCCGTGAACATTCAAAACAATTCTGACCCCAACAAGACCACGCTACGTTTCGCTACAGTTTCATTTCATAAGTCAGTTTCGTTAAGCATTCCACTGTTTGTTCATATGCAATCAATTTTCTGCCTTAAACAGCCGACTGGGTGCGTTTGGGGATTTGTTCAGACACTCGTTGCAAAACGAACAGGGCTATTCGCACCGCTATCACCTAAAGCATAAAGCGCACACTTTGCATCGAACTCAGCTCCAAACGTGTCACTGCGGACCGGCATGCGAACGAGGAACCGGCATGCGAAAACCCTCTCAGAGCACGAGGCAACTGGTGGCAGCCTGTCGCGCTCATGCCCTACTACCCTCCACCGACAGCCCATTGCCGTATTCGACAGCGTGCACGGGCGCCGCCCAGCCATCTCCTCCGCAGCCGGCAGGTGACAAGACAGATTGACGTGACACCATCACGTTCATCAGGTGCTCGACGGGCCGAGCAGGCCCTTAACTCATCAGCGGTGCGGTCGCTCCGGCGCCAGCTGCGTCGGCCGTCGCCCGGCCGCGTGCAGTGAGCCACGCTCGTGTGATTCAGAGTCGCGCGCGGCGGCTGGGGCGCCGCTGTGAACCGCGGCTTGTAGCGGGGCAAGCGGGAACTGGTTTGGGCCTGGCGGGTGCCGGTCGGACGGGCACGAGCGGGTGTGCTGTCGCGCCACGGACAGAGATGCCGTGGGACTTCTGCCGGACGATGAATGAGAATCAAACGGCTATGTTGTCAAGTGGGGAAAGGGACGAGGTGGGTCCGTTGCTGCTGCGAGAGGGGGACGACTTGGGTCGGTTGTCGAGCCGGAATGTCCGGTCAGTCGTCGGTCAGTTGTTGGGCCAGGGACGATGTTGGTCCGTTGTTGCTGCGAGAGGAGGACAACTTGGTTCGGTTCTCGAGCCGGAATGTCGGGTCAGCTGTCGGGTCAGTTGTCGGCCAAGGACGAAATGGCTTTGCTGACGAGCCGTGGACGGACGAGAAGCTCGATTTTGAGCCATTGAGCCAGAGGCGAGCCAGTGGATCGTGGCGGATGACTCAGAAGCGGATCTCCGAGTGTCGGAAGTGTATGCGACCAGAGAGGCGGTTCAGATCCTCGCGCCAAACAGGCCCAGCAGTTGGATCTGCTTTATATGCTGCTGCAGCAGTTGGATGTGCTGTGTATGCTGCTGCAGCAGTTGGATGTGCTGTGCATGCTTGTAATGGCATACGGAACTCGCTTCAGTCTATCAGAAGATTACGCCGTCGTTTGACTCACGCGGGTGCTTTTATAAGAGTTTGTATATGAAGATGTAGATATATGAAGAGCTTTAACTCGTCATGCTTCGAGGCCTCCGCGCACAGGTAAGGCAGCTCTGTCGTACATGTGCACTGAAACCTCAGCTTATCTCAACATACCAAGAAAAGACTCTCAGCAAAAAAGACGAGGTCCATAAAGCTATTGTCCATACTTCACTAAATGGCTGCACTACGAATGGTCAAACCACAGCCTGCACACAGGTCTTAATTATGCAGGCACATCCAAGATGGAGACAACAGAATGCCACGCTTTCCCTTGTGTGCAGTCTGCGTCCAGTGCCATTTATTCTCTTTCATGTAATTGCTGACCAGGTCACACGGTCAACAAAGACTAATGGCTGCGAGCATTCTAATAAATCATTTTGATTCTGCATGCGCTATTGTACTAATGCAGAACCAGTTCGCAGTTTATACCTACGGTGGTTTATGTGAAGTTCATTAATTCACGCGCCCTTAACACAGCTGAAATTGAGACACACAATCTGCAACATGACGAGCACTTGCATTGCCTCCGCCGAAATAGATTCACGTAGTAAATCATCCAATTATAAAAC